ATATATATATATATATATCGGAGTTTTTGTTTGTTTTCTCTCTCTCTCTCTCTCTCTCTCCCCCCCCTTTTGTTTCACTCTCTCTCTCTCTCTTTCTCGCTCTTTCTCTCTTTCTCTCGCTCTCTCTTTCTCTCTCGCTCTTTTTCTCTTTCTCCCTCTCTCTCTCTCTTGGTATCCTTCTCGTATTGATTCCATTGAAATGTTTTCGGTCGTTCGTGGGCTCCCGCTGGGCAGTCTTGAAGTCCTTTGGGGTCCCTTGGAGTCTTGTTCGGCCCTCTTGGGGTTATCTTGGGCAGTCATGCGGTCCTTTTGGCCGTTTCGGGGGTTCTCTCCAGGCCGTTGCGGGGACGTGCCGTGGCCCTCTTGAGTCGTCGAGGGGCCCTCTCAGGCCGTCCAGGATACCTCTGGAGGCCCGCCTGGGTAATCTGGGGCCCCTCGAGCGCCGCCCTGGGGCAGCACTGGAAACCTCTTAGGTCATTTTGGAGCCGACGGATACCCGAAGTGGCGAGGATGCCACAACCCTTCCAACACGCAAGGGCAATCAATGAGTCAGCCTCTTAAGGCTCGCTTGCGAAGCAGCGGCTGGGCATAGTGATTGCGAGGCTCCCGGACCATCCGCTCATTGGGGCTTCTCCGGTGTTCTTGAGGGTCACATCGGAGCCAGTCCTGGGACGTCTCGGGCTCTCTTGAGGCGAGATCGGGCCATCTTGGGGCGCCCGGCACCCCCGGGGAGGGGTGGAGGGATGGGCCGCGCCTCCCCGGCAGCGACGAGAGGGGGGGTCGGAAGAGCAGACGCTCGAGACCACTGCCGCCCAGAGAGCTGGTGGGAGCCCGGGTCGGTCGGCTGCAGCAGAGAGGGGGTCGCGGAAGCCCGGGCTGGGCGCTGCCGCGCGCGAGGGCGCCCCGTGGGTGCGTGCGCGGCGGCGTCAGGGTCGGGCGAGGACATGCGGTGGGAAGAGGAGGAGGAAGGAGGGGGAGGCGAAGGTGGGGGGGGCAGGACGAGGGGGGGGGGGAGTGGGATAGGGGGGGACAGGTGGGGAGGGGAGGAGGGTGGTGGTGGTGCGCGTGCGTGGCGGCATCGGGGTTCTGCAGCGCGCGTGGCGGCAATCGGGTTTTAAATCGCGTGTGGTGGCAATTGCGCGTGGCGGCACTCGTTGGCATGTTCCCGTCATCGGCGGGCGCGTGCGGCGGCATCCGGGTCTGACGGGTGCGAGGAAGAGGAGTAAACGGAGAGGTGATGGGGGGGAGAGGAGGCGAGGAGGGCAAGCGGGAAAAGTAGAATGACGACGATGGCGTTGGCGTCGCGACGCGCGTCCAATTCACAGGCCCAAGTCCACGACGTTCGTTGGCGTCGCGTTGGCGCCGCGACCTATCGCCAGACCCCAGGTACACAGATAAGCTGAATCTGTGTTATCGCGTTCGCCCCGTGACCCCCCTCTTTTAACAGACCAGACCCATGGTGGATCCCAAATTGCAGCAGCGTTTATGCATCGTTGGTTTCCTTTTTTCACATCCTTTTCTTCCTTAGGGGGAGGAGGAATGGGAAGAGGACGGGGAGGCGGAAGAAGAGTAGCAGGAGAAGGAGGAGGACCCTCCCCTCATCCTCCCCGTCTCCTCTTCTCCCTTATTATTTTTCTCCTTCTGACAGTCTCCTTCCTCAGTGTCCTTTCCTGGACTCCCCCGATTCCTCCCCCCGCATCACCTCCTTGGTGCACGGGTGACCCATTCCGTATTTGTTGCACGAGTTTTCGTCGAGGCCAGGATCGGCATTGGTATTGGGACGTTTGTTCAGTTGTCGCGTGCTAAGTGTTTGCTCGGTGGTCGTTGAGTGTCTGCTCGGTGGTCTAGCACTCGTCCAGCGAAGCACGCGCTGTCCTCAGCACAGGCACAGGAGACGGCTGACACTAGCCAGGGCTTCTCATGCTGTAGACAGTAAAGATGGAACAGAAGCGGGAGGATGACTATGCAGTAGCGAGGCGCAGCTCTGTGTTTGAAGCTATACCAGACCATAGACCACGTTCTGAGGATTCATTGGGCAGGTTGTGAAACGTTCAGCATCGATTTGCCTCTGGCTCATCCCAGCACCATGCTTGCGTGATAGACAAGATGCATCGTCTCTCTTGAGTTTGCCCCCGGGGGGCATCTTGAAGGCCTCATTGGGGCCCGCTCAGCGCTGCCTGGGGGCATCGGGGTGACCTCTTGATGCCTCTTGGGGGCATGCTGCCTGTCTGGGGGGCAGGCCATAGGGTGGACGGGTCCGAATAGCAGTTCGAATTGTCGATCTTGTGGCCCTCTTGGGGGCCTTGGTTGGCCCGCTTGGGCGGGTCGTGAGGCCTTCTTGGGCCATCTTGGATGCATGGGGGACCACAGAGCCGCAGGTTTTTCAATGGCCTTGGCTTCCTGGGCTGACGCAGGGGGCCTCCAACACGGCCCAAGAGGCTCCCAAGAGGGTTCCAGCACGGACCGCAGCCGTTTTGGTTCAAAACACCCAGGAGCCTGGGGGGCAGGCCATAGGGTGGACGGGTCCGAATAGCAGTTCGAATTGTCGATCTTGTGGCCCTCTTGAGGGCCTTGGTTGGCCCGCTTGGGCGGGTCGTGAGGCCTTCTTGGGTCATCTTGGATGCATGGGGGACCACAGAGCCGCAGGTTTTTCAATGGCCTTGGCTTCCTGGGCTGACGCAGGGGGCCTCCAACACGGCCCAAGAGGCTCCCAAGAGGGTTCCAGCACGGACCGCAGCCGTTTTGGTTCAAAACACCCAGGATCGCGTTTGTATCAAGCGTTGCAGTTTACCTTAACGACCCTGCACTTTGAGGTAACCCCGTGGTCGCAGTTGGCATGAAGGCGCCCTGCATCGCCGCGCTGTTCACTCTTCTGGGCCGTCCAGGCGCCTTGCATCTGGGCGAACTGGATCTTCATAACCAATCCGTGATCTACACAACTTCTGCCTACACCTACTTAGGATGCGGTGCGGTACTTCCGCAGTGGTCATGCGCCGCGGGCTCCGAGACATTTTATGTCGACTGCGGGCGCATTCTGTCTGGCACGATCGATGCCAAAGCCTCGCAGTGCGCGGGAAGATGCTCTGCCCTTTCGGGGTATGTTGCCTTCTCTGTGCACGACACGACGGCCTGCTTCTGCCTCAAGACTTCGCCAACGCCTGTAGATGCCTCTACGCCTGCTGCATCTTGCAGCACTGGTAGTAACAATATCGTTTATTCTATGCCTCGGGCGATTGGTGCTTCCATATATGCCAATGGAGCTTATTATGATAGCCGATTCCCACCCTCGGCCGTTCTGGATTCAACATGGCAAGGTGGCAGCCACAATAATTTCCAGACGTGGCTCTCGCCCACCTCACAAACATCGTGGTTCACTTTGATGTTGGACGCCTCGTCCACTGTGACCGAGTTCCATATCCTCAACACTTGCAACACGCCGCACAACGATCGGTCAACAAAGGGTTACAGCATATACGTGTCCAGCGACGCCGTAAGCTTTACTCTCGCCTCTTCGGGAACATTGGCAAACTGTTATCCGATACAGGGCACCCCCGTTGTCGTGTCAAACACTGGCCCGTCGAATGGAATCCGATACGTCAAGTTCGTGATGGACAGCTACTACGGGGCGAGCGGTGGCCTGAACTATTTCCAGGCCTTCGGGTCAGATGTGGTGTCGACTCCAAGCCCGACGCTCTTCCCGACGCCCTTCCCGACGCCCTTCCCGACTGCTTTTCCGACATCCTACCCGACGGCCTTCCCGACGCCCTTCCCCACGCCCAGCCCGACGCCCAGCCCGACATATCCTCCGGGGTGGCCTACGCCACACCCGACGCTTCCTCCTGGAGCTCCCATGGCGGGCGGAGCCGGCGGTGTGGCTGCCACGGGCGACCCCCACCTGCAAAATGTGATTGGTCAGCGGTTTGATTTGATGAAGCCAGGCAAGCACGTTCTGATAAACATCCCTCGTGGTTGGCATAGCCGCGCAATGCTTCGTGTAGAGGCTGAGGCTCGTCACTTGGGCGGACTATGCGCAGACATGTACTTCCAAGACCTGAATATCACAGGGGCGTGGGTGGAGGCGACAGGGAAACACGGTCTCCATTTCGAAGCTGAGGGTGTGCGTGAACCGACTGCGAAGTGGTTGAAGTTTGGGAAGGTAGAGCTGAAAGTCGCCCGTGGGCACACTCAGCAGGGCCTCCAGTATTTGAATTTCTACGTCAAGCACCTTGGGCACTCTGGGTTTCATGTCGGAGGGCTTCTCGGAGAAGATGATCACACAGATGCAGCGATGCCCTCGGAGGCTTGCAGTCACCACGTTTCTCTTCTCCAGATGCCGTTCGAGTCGTCTCAAAGCGCATCCGTCGTCTCGGTTGCAGCGGCAAGCGTCCTTTGATTGCCCGTACATGCGCTGGTGAGTTTGTGTTGCCCACGACTCCCAAGGGGAAGTCCCAGGGCAGCGCGGAACCGCTGTTTGCTTTCTGCGGAGACAAAGAAGGGTTCCAGCACGGATCAATGAGACCGTCTCAGGGCATGTTGGAGGTTGAGACCATCAACCAAGCTCCCAGAGTCTGTCGAGAGTTCACGCGGAAATTCCAACAGCTCGCAAGAGAGTCGGGGTATTCCGAGAGTTGAGGGTCCAGGGCCATTACGGAGTGTTCACGGCATTCCGTGTGGAGGCGTCTAGGAGACCCGAGGGAATTCCACTCCGTGTGCCGTGGCACGGTGGGGAATCACCTCTGCCGAGGGCCAAGAGGACGCTTGCTTGGCCATGGACCCTTCCTCTCCCCCCTCAGCCTCCTCGCCACTCCCTCCCCCCTCCTGGTCCTGCGGCTCCTCCACCTCGCCCTCCCCGCCCTCTTCCCGCCCACCCTTGAGCCCGTGCCATCTGGCTCCAGCGTCGGGGCCCAGCCCCGCTAGCCCCGCGGATCCCGCCCGGCGCACGCACGCACGGCCCGGCAGGGACGGTCCTGGGCTTGCGTCCCCTGCGGCCCGGGATGGAGGAGTCCCAGAAGCAGACCGCCATCCCGGAGGTCCTGCCCAAGGCGGGCCTGGTGTACTCCGAGAAGGGCAACCTGTCCGAGGTGCTCACGTCGAGGAAGAGGAAAAAGGGCATGAGCATAAACTTTCGGCGCTCCGCGCGGCTTTCTTGGATCTGCGCTGGACGCCCCTGGCGGCGCCTCCAGGGCCGCACCTGGCGCGCTCCGCGCGCCAAGGAGGGGGATCCGACGCAGATCCAAGAAACCCGTGCAGACCGCCGGGAATCTATGTTGATGCCGTTTTTTCGTTTTCAATCAGGGTCAGAATCGTGTAGCCGATCCCCATCCCCATCCCAATCCACATCTCGAGCCCCACCGTCGTACCACCTCAGATGGGGATATGCCTTTCGAACCCCGAGGAGAGCAGCCTATATCCCCATCCAGGGGTGTAAATCGGCCAGTGGGGCCCAGGCCACGCTGGTGGGGATGGGGATCGGTCGAACGATGCTCGCAGGGGCAACGCCAGGGTGGGATGGGCTCCGCGGGGGGGGGGGACGAATCGACCCCCCAATCACTCCTGGATCGCCGATCGGGCCCGGAGAGCCCGCTCCGCCCTGGAACGTGTGCGGAGGGTTGCTCGCGGGGTCCTGTCGCCGACATCCGTCGGCGAGGCATCGCCAATGCGAGCTCGCCCCGAGCCGAGCCCCCGCTTTCGTGGCCCTGCAGGTGCTGTGCAAGCCGAAGATCATGCCGATCAAGTCCAGCGCCCTCGAGCGGATCGAGCAGATGGAGCGGGACTTCCAGGAGTACGCCCAGCAGCAGCCGCAGGAGGGCGACGGCCGGTGACGGGGCCTCGGGCTCCTGCGCGGCCCCCGTCTGCGGCCGAGCTCTGAGGCGGTGCAGTGCAGTCCGCGCTGAAGGACTGAGCCCGCGCCCGGCCAGAAGCGGTGCTGCGCGACGGCACCTTGCTCTCACGGCTCTTCCTCCTCGCCCTTCGCCCTTCTCTTGCGATCGCGCGCGTCAGGCCCGAGGTTCGTCTGGTCAGTCGCATGCACGTCGCCCCTGTCGAGGGGCGGCAGGATGATGATGATGCTGCTGATGATGGTGATGCTGATGATGATGGTAATGATGATGATGATGATGGTGGTGATGGTGGTGATGATGATGATGGTGGTGGTGGTGATGGTAATGATGATGAGGAGGATGAGGAATTGAAGATAATGATGCTGGTGCTGATGCTGATGCTGCTGATGATGCTGATGCTGATAATGATGTCGTTGTTGATGATGATGTTGCTGATGGAGATGAAGATGATGAAGATGATGAAGATGATGCTGCTGATGATGATGATGGTGATGATGATTGTGGTGGTGGTGGTGGTGGTGATGGTGATGATGAGGAGGATAAGGAGTTGATGATGATGATGCTGGTACTGATGCTGATGCTGCTGATGATGGTGTTGATAATGATGTTGTTGATGATGATGTTGTTGATGAAGATGAATATGCTGTTGATGATGCTGATGATGCTGATGATGATCATGATGGTTGTGATGATGATGATGACGGTGATGATGATGATGACGATGATGATGATGATGATGATGATGATGATAATGATGATGATGATGATGATGATGATGATGATGATGATGATGATGATGATGATGATGATGATGATGTCGATGAGAAGGAGGGGAGGAGGAGGAGGAGAGGCGGAGAAGAGGAGGAGGAGAGGAGGAGGAGGAGAGCAGCAGGGGGCAGGATGGACAGGATGAGGCGGCAGGGGCGGAGAGGGAGAGAGGAGGAGGGGGAGTAGCATGAGAGGAGGGAGGAGAGGAGGGATGAGGATGATCACGATGACGAAAACGAAGAAGGGTAAGGAGGAAGAGGATGGAGGCGGAGGGCAACGGTTAGGAAGAGGGGAAGGAGAATACTGATGGGTGACAAACGAGGAGGAGGAGGAGGAGGAGGAGAGGAGGAGGAGGAGGAGAGAGGAGGAGGGGAGGAGGGGGGAGGGGGAGGAAGAGGAGGGGGAGGGAGGAGGAGGAGAGGAGGAGAGGATGAGGAGGAAGGAGAGGAGGATCACGGAGGGGGGAGGACGATGAGCTCTGCAGCTGTTCGCCTTGTGGGCTCCGAAGTCTCTTTGGGCCCCTATAGAGGGTGTTTCGCAGGGAGAAGGGGGGGGGGGGGGGGGGTGGGGGGGGGGGGGGGGGGGGGGGGGGGGGGGGCGAACACTGTGGCTAGTCTCGGCCTCGCCGCCGAGCACTTCTCCCGACGCCGGCCACTCCTGGCGCCAGGAGGCGCCGGGGCAGCCAGCCACGCGAGCTGATTCGCTGACCTCCCCCCTCAGGGCTCGTTTCGATTCCTCTGGTTCGACTCGATTCGACCTCGGCGGCTTCCGGCGGGAATCCGATTGGGGGTCCGATGCCTCGTTGGAGGCAAACCGGCCTGCCGATTTCCGCCGATCCGATCCAGATTCGTGTGCCAGTTTGCGCCGATCCGATTCAATTCGATCGCCGATCCGACTTATCGATTCGATCCTGGGCTCTCCTGCCCCCCCCCATTTGCTACCCAGACTTGTTGTTTACGTCCGCAGCGCGGCAGGGGCAGTCCGCACGCGCGCTCGGGCGAGCCCGGCTACGGCACTGCGCCTTGTCCAGAGCGGGAAGAGGGGGGGGGAAGGCGGGGAGAAGAGAGGCGGCCGCGGGAGGAGGGGAAGGAACCGATGCGCTCACGCAGCGGGGGCCGCAGCGGGGCTCTGCTGCCCAGACATGCGACGAGATGTGAGCTGTTCGATGGGCGGCTCAGAGGTCTCGGCCACCTCCCCGGAGGTCGCAGAACGTGGCTCCAGAGCCGTTCGGGAAGGTCCCCGTGCCAGGCGAGGGGGTCCTGGAGGCCCAAGCCGAGGAGACACCGCCCGTCCCCGAAGAGATCACATCGCGGGAGTTTTTTTTTTTTTTTTTGTGTGTGTGTGTGTGTGCAGTCGGGCCGAGCGCCAAGAAAGTGCCGAAGCTGGAGGGTTTCACGTGTCGGGCCCCGGGAGGCTACACTCGTTCGACAGTTCGCCAGCGTGCCGGGTAGACATTGATTCGACACCTTCCTGGGTGCTCGACATACATTTGGTGATGCGGTCCTTGAGTATGATGTGAACCCCACATGCACCGAGGTATGAGACCGAGGTCGGTTCGGAGAGGGGACCCTCATGCTCTTCGTGCTTGTGGGATGTTCTTGTGCATCCTGGGGGAGGGTGCGTACTCCCGAGTGCTCTTCATTCTGGCTGGCGGAGGGCCTCGCATTCTTGCAGGATGTTCTCCCGTCCTGGGCCCGACGGTGCGTACGGTCGGGAGCTTTGGCTTAGCGTGCCGCTGGCTCGCGCCCACCGCGTTTCGGTGCGGCACTCCATCCGCGCCGCGGCCCCAGGCCGTCAACTTCCCAGGCCTCTCCCGAGCCTCCCGCCCCACGGAGCGGAGGGACACGCTACCCGCTCGCAGGGCTCAGCGTGTCGCCGGGGCCGCCGCCGCGACGCGCCGATCAGAAGCTCCCGAGGCCGTATCCGATGGTGCGTACCCCGTCTGGCTCCGCCGACAGCGCGCAGCCTGCGCCGGGGCCCTCGCTGCGGCGCCTCCGTCGTATCGGAGTGCCTCAGGTGGACCAGCGCACACTCTGGCGCTAGCACGCGTTCCCACCAAACCCCCGACGTCATGCCTGTTGTCCATAACGTCGACTCCCAAAGGTCTCGACGCATGCCCCAGGACAGATTTTTATCCTGAGTCGTTCTATGACAGTTCCGGAGGCCCGGCGAGGGCCCGCAGGGGCCGAAAGTTGCCAAAAACCACCCGCCGCGGTTTGTCGTGACTCGACGGGGTCCGGGGCATGAGGACCATCAGAAGTTCCTGACCGTGCCCCCTTCCGCCTGACCGCGCCTCTCTCCCGGCCACCAGGTGCTGGCTCCAGGCGCCCACGGCCACCGAGGCCGAGCGGGGGGCGGGGGGGGCCCAGGAGCTCTCTTTTGGTGGCGGGGACGGAGGGATGCGTCCCGGCTTGCCTAGTTCTGTGTCCACCAGGGAGTGTTCCAGGAACCTTTTCTGTGGTTTGCACGGGATGGTCTCAGAACGTTTCTTGCTGAGACCTTTCTGTTTTAACACATCGGCGTCCTGCTCCAAGAGAATTGTTCTTGTTTGTAGAACATTCTTTGGATCAGAGAACATGTCGTGGAGGTCCATATAGGAATGCCGGGACGGTCGGTCCTAGCCCAATGATGGAGCCCTGCGCGTCAATCGAGGAACATCAGCCACGCGCAGAGGGGGGCTGGGGGGACAGGGGAAGGCTCCTTAGCAGCACTCCCGCCTCTGAGACGGCGTGGGCCTGATCTGTAGACGGAATGCCATTGACCATTGCCTTCAAGCAAGCCTTCCCTCCTCCCTCCACCCCCTTGCGCGCGCCGCCAAGAGTAACGATCCCAGGCGTCCGGATTGTTTTAAGGACGGCGTCCCCGCAAGTCCAGGCCCTTTCCCCGGGGCCGTTTTTTCATCCTGAGTCGGTTTTTGACGGTCCCGAGGCCCGGCGAGGGCCCCCAGGGGCCGAAAATAAAGAAATTTTGCCGTTTTTTTCCCGACGCGATCACGTCCATAAATTCCTGAACTTTCGGAGGTCCACGCGGATTTCTCAGCTCGGCGCTGGAGCCCTTCCTGCGGCGCCTCCGGCGCCCCCCCTCGGTGCCCGAGAGGCGCGCCGGGGATCCAGGGCCGATCCAAGAAGTCAGCGCGGGCCTCGTCCTGCTCCTCCTCCTCCTCCTCCTCCTCCTCCTCCTCCTCCTCCTCCTCCTCCTCCTCCTCCTGTGTTCCTGTGTTCCTGTCGACTCTGTGCCCGCGGAGCAGGCGTCGCCGTTGTGCGAAGGGGGACCCCTTTCCCCCCCCCCGCTCAGAGGATGTTGTTCAAGTGGTTGCCGAACTCGTCGAACTCGTCCTCTCCACCTGGAGCCTTGCGGTCGGCGCGAACGAGACCGTGCGTCTCGTCTGGGGCGTCGCGCAGCCTCCCGCCGTGGCTGCCGCCGTTTGCCCCCTCTCGCCACTGCTGTTGGCCGCTTTCTGTTCTAGCGATTCCCGCAGATGACGTATGGGCTCCCAGCTTCGTGTCACGGCCCACTGCCTCTGTTGCTTCTCGCACTGGCGTGTCACAGCTTGCTTGTGACGGGTGCTCGCTCTCCAGGCTATCTTGTTCGCTCTTGTGGGAAAGCTCCTCCACGCCGCTCTCGGACTCGTCGCCCTCGTCGTCGTCGTCCTCGCTGTCGACGTCGCGGGCGTATTCGAGGAGGTCTACCGTCATACGCACGGCCTATTCGAAACTGGAGCTGCTGATCTTGTATGACGCGCGAAGGAGGACCGTGGGAAGGGTCGCGGACGAGCTGGGGGAAGCCCACACTCCAGTCGCCCGCTCTATGAACCGTATGTGTTGCCTCAGCTGGTCGAAGATACTGGCGGCATTGGCGCACTCGAAGGGGATGGGAATGTGTTGCTCGTGCGCATGCATACGGAGCCTATAAGTCATCGCGGCCAGCATTTGGGGAGAGGCCCTCGTTGCGGCCGCAGCCTCAGCCTCGGCCAAGGCGGCAGCCCTCCAGTCGCCCGCTGCAGCTGCCGGCTCTTCTCGCGCACGTGTAGTTGATGACGTCTGGGTGCCCAGCCGTGGGTCAGCAGCCGTTGCCGTCTCTTCTCGCACTCGTGCCCCCGAATGTTTCTCGCTTTGCGCGCGCTCAGGTTCGTCAGGCACTTCACGCGCGCTCGTGTTCTGGCGTGTGATGCCTGTACCGATAGAGGGCTCCATCTTCGCATTTGTCTGCTCGCA